CGGGCCGGAGAGACGTCTGCTTCCTTGCAGAAGAAACGAGCAAAAACGGAAAGCGCAAAGCGCGCAAGGGGTGGCGCAGATCATAGAGCCGGCAAAACCTTGCGAAACAGGAGCGGACGCGGGCGATTTCGTAGACGGCTCCGGACCGGAGAGCCGTCTGCTTCCTTTCAGAAGAAACGAGCAAAAACGGAAAGCGCAAAGCGCGCAAGGGGTGGCGCAGATCATAGAGCCGGCAAAACCTGGCGAAGCAGGAGTATTCCATGCAAAAGTATCGCACTCGTATAAATCCAGGCCTATTTTGCTCCATGATAAAACTTAGAAGTTGGTGGGAAGTTGTTGAGAAGTAGGTGGGGAAGTGGGTGGGGAAGTGGGTGAGAAGTCGGCGCCGAAGTTGGTGTGGAAGCCGGTGAGAAGTGGCAGGGTGTGTTGGCGTCGTCATCGCCTCGACCGAGTGGCGTGGCACGTCACTCCACCGCGGCGAGTTCTACCGCCTTCGCTGCCTGCAGCTGCAGCTGCAAGGGTTGGAAGGAAAATTTGCGCAGCAGATGAATAGACAGACGGCCAGTGTCATTGTTTTCATTCATCTGCGGCGCAGTTCGACCAGTTCGCGCCACGGCATCAGGCTCAGCGAAGACTTAGAGAAGAGGAAGCAAAAGGTGCATCTGTGATGGCTGCACGCAAAGATGCAAGAACGGACGAAATAAAGCTGCGCGCGACCTTGTGGAGTCGGGGCTGCGCGCCGACCTCTGAACAACTTCTCAACAACTTCTCCAGCAATATATTACTCAAATTCATTAACTTCGCCAACGCCTTTGCTTTTCTTTTGGGAAAAAATGCAGCTTTGCGTGTGACCTACACAGTTTACAGCATTTTTTCCTCCGCAGCTTCTCAACAACTTCTCAACAACTTCTCGACCAACATATCCGAGATATTTGGCGAGAAGCTGTTGAGAAGTTGTCGCGCAATTCATCCCCTCGAGAGTGCTCTGCTTTTGCCAAAAGCCCACTTTTGGAAGCGCAAAACATTTCTGCAAAAGCAGGCGCTGGAGCTCCCGCAGCGCTCACATTTGCGCGGAGGCGCGACCAAAGTATGCACAGCCAAACTGATTCGTGACCGCGCACGCGGCCACGAATCGAGATCCGGAAAACTCGCGAGACACCAGCCAAAGGCCGGTAGCTAGAGAAATTGGCGCGCCTAAAGTAAGCGGAAATCCGTACCAAGTCCCCGAACAAACCCTCCCCCCGACTCCCGCCAACTCAACAGCTGGGAAGTTGGTGAAAAGACTGGGGAGAAGATGGTGAGAAGTTGGTGGGAAGTTGGTTGAGACTACGTGAGAAGTCGGTGAGAAGTTGCAAAAAGGTTTCATGCGTAAAAAGGTCGGATTTATACGAGTGCGATACTTTTGCACAGGATAAGGAGCGGACGCGGGCGATTTCGTAGACGGCTCTCGGGCCGGAGAGACGTCTGCTTCCTTGCTTCAGAAGAAACGAGCAAAAGCGGAAAGCGCAAAGCGCGCAAGGGGTGGCGCAGATCATAGAGCCGGCAAAATCTGGCGAAACAGGAGCGGACGCGGGCGATTTCGTAGACGGCTC